TTCTGAATCTCTGTATGCTCCCTCCTTTCTTGGCTTCATTTTGGAACAAATTCCCACTTTTGATTTATTTTGCTATGATGCCATCTTCATTCATATGCCTCCTTTAAAATTTTATTTTGTAATCTGTCCTTATACATTTTTCTTCTTCTCTTAACCTGTCTATTTTTCAGGGTGGGAGAGGCTTAAACATTATCGTTCGTTTTATTTCCTTAACTAGTATATTGCCATATTTCATTAAAGACATCATTCTCTCATAGAGTTACTACCTGTCTTTTACATTCTCAGCCATCAGTGTATTTTCAGGGAACCACAGATTTATTTTATGGGTAGAGCAGGAGGCACAAGGATTCCTGTTACTGAGCAGGTGTGGTGACAAATTAGTCAGGAAGCTATTGCTCAGTTTAACTCCAGCAGCACTCCTCTGTGAACTATCAGCTACTATCTGTTTCTGCCCTTTCCAGGTCTGTTCATGCTCATCTGAAAAGCAACTTTATTTTTCTGAAATGTGTAGGTAGTTTGGGAGTGTTATTGTGAAACATGGATGAAACATCAGACCAATTGTTTGATCAAAGGTAAAAGAGCTTCAGAGATAACATTTCCTGCATGCACACATATGTTTTTGGAAATAAGGTGCTGGTGAAATACCCTGCTGCTTCCTAGCAAATGTTTTTTCTCCTTGTCAATGCCAGAATTTGAATTTCTCCCTGACATTAGATATGAAGTCTAAGAAACTGGTGTTGCACTGCAGCTGGAAGCTGACATGAGACTGAAGTGACACATCCTTTGCTGTGGAATATTTGTCTCCAGCTGTTCTTTCACAGGGTGGGTTATGGAGACTGCACCTGCGGACGCCGGGGTACAGCAGCCAGGGAGGATTCCCTGCCATAACATTTGTCTGTGAAACACATACTTTCTCCCTGAGGAAATGGGCTTATGTCAACAAAAATGGAAACTTCAAAAAACTATGTATGCAGTGCTGGGAAAAGCTAAGCATCTTTGCTCTTAAATGTGTCGGGTGATTAATTTCATGTGCCATATCCCTCACACGCACATTCTTCTTCTTTGCCAAAGGCTGAATGTAATTGGAAGCCTATGAATGTCCGTAGTTGCCAGACAGCTTAAAATTGAGATACTGTGAAATGCAAACAAATGGAAATGTTTCTGTCTTGTGTAAATATACAAGAATTATTAATCATTAAACACCAGTTGCAAGGAGAGTCGTTTAAGATAGTCAAAGATGAACCTGAGGTGGTTCCTGTGTACACACCTGGAGCAGGAGTCCAGTTAGAGTGGCCTGGACAAGTGGGTTCTGCTCCATACATCAATTTTGCACCCCCTTAGTTGGTTAGTGATGCAACAGCTTCCTAAAATAGCTGTAGGAAGATATAATCCTTCACATATATGCCCTGACATAGGTGTAAGAGTAATTTGTATTCATGTAACTTATTTTCTTTTCCAGATGGGAGTAAACCATACAGATCCAAAATAATATTTCTGTTGATGTAGTTGTGTCCATGCTAGGGAAGGTAATGATTCAGCTAGGTGGACAGAATGCAAGAAGCTTGTCAATACCAAGAAGCTCCAAGATGAGAGGGGACATGGTGAGTCTTGCTGGTATTCTTACTGTCAGGGCATTGGTGGCTTGTTTCAGTGAAGGAAATTACTTGTATGCACCTAGGTTGTTCTTTCACTCCCTTGTGTTTTCTTTTTACATTCAGATACTGCTTGGCTGCACTGGGGCAAAGTGCAAAGGAGCTTAAGAGACTCAGGCCATGTGGGGTCTGTTGTCATCTTTGCTGAAAGCATGCCAGGTAAGTAATTATTCTTCTGTGCCTCCATATACCATCCCTCCATTTTTATCCTTAGTTATTTAGTTTACAAGGTATCAGAACATGCACGGTTCATAACAATGTGTCAGTGAAGTGCCCAGAACACTAAAATGCTGACTTTTGTCAAGTTGAGAGGGTAATACGGCTACAGAATAAATTAGGAAAAGAGATGGCTAAACTAAACGTACCTGCAGCCTGAAAATAAAGAAAATTGTGCTTTTTACAAGAACTGCGCCTTACGGACTGAGAATATAAACCTCCTTTACAAAAAGGCAATTGTACTATTACCATTTTTGTGAACACATCTGGTCAACATTGATGTGTATCTTTGTTATATGTTAAAATGTTTTTGAGTGATCTCTTCTGACTCACCATTGCCCCTCTTTGTTTGGCATTCAATTCTGTCAGCCCCTTCAAAATGTAGTGTTGCCCTATACTGCCATTAAGCTGAATAATACAAGCATATCATTTAATCCAAGCTGTCTCCAGCAGTTAGTCGCCTTCTGGAGAGCATCCAGGTGTTGCTTGAAAAGAGATGACTAGGAAAGGAATAAACAATTTCACTTGATGAATTGGCCAGCTTATCTTTTGTTTCAGCTATCTTCCACTTTGAAAATCTTGTTCAAATGAAATAGTTGTGCTTGAGACATAAGGGGGGGGGGGGAGGTTCACCCATGAAGATCAAAACTTTGTATAAAGATGGTAAAACATAATTATCCCAGGCAAACAGAAGTGGAAACTGGGGCACAGCTGTTGGATTAAACTCAGGTGAAAGGCAAAGAGAGAAACTCAGGTAGTCTGGAGTATTTGGCCTCCTTCAAATATCAGCAAGATTCCTTTCTGCATTAGCCATCCTTTCTGCAAACCAGAAAATGCTTTTGCTCAGAGTGCGAAAACACGCCTAAACTATAATGCTCTCTGTACGACTCTGGGATACCAGGTGGGCAACGACACTTTGCCACTGTAAGAGCAGTAAATGTGAGAAAAATAAGTGGCTAGTTGATTTTTGCAAGGGAAGTGCTGCAGCATCACTGCGAACTCAGGGAGCTTGGTATTCCTGAAGTGTTTTTGCATGATTATTTTTTAGGTTCGCTCTTCAGTTGCATAACAGCATATGCTTCCCCTATTTACAACGTTAAAATAGACCAAGAGAAAAAAAAATACTCCCACTGTAAATGATATGGCACTGACGTCTACTACTGATACACCGATGTCTTTTTCCACCAAAGCCAGCTAGATGCTGCCTCAATCTGCCGTGAAATATCTATAATCTCGGAGCCATAAAGCAGAGCAATGTGCAAGGAAATGAACCCAAAGAAAAATCATCTGCTTGGCAATCAGAATTTGGAGATTGTCCCTTAAAGTGTCAGTAGCTGCCTGGATCTTCCTAGTGTTCCCAGTGGATATTTTGGGTTGGAAGAAAGCAATGCCTCAGCTAAGCCTGAAGGCACCTGTTGGAAGGTGTCCCAAAACGTAGGGATTGTCAATAGCAGGGATCAGTGTGTGCTGTGACAGATGTTTTATGCTCAATAGTGACTGGAAGGAAAATTTCCCACCCAGGAACTGTCAAGCACAAGATGTCTGCGGTGTATTAAGAGCTTCAGAAATAAAATACTAGGTTGTGATAGAGGTTTGCTTTATGTGCAGTTTCTGTCTCGTCAAAATAATTTGGAGGAAGAATTGTTTTCCTTTTTTAACACCTGTTTTTGACATTTCTGAAATGGAAAATCTTTTTGTTGTTGTCAGAATGACTGTTATGAAATGTAGATGTAGGTAGGATAAGAAAGAAGTTATAACGAATACATTTGAGGGATCCCTGCAAAGACTTCTTGCACATGAAACAAAAATGTATCTTCTAGCACCTCTCAACCTTCCCATATCATAAACAAATGTGGAAATGGAAAGGGCAAATTCTCAGCTGTGTGCCGGGATTAAAACAAGGAGCAAAGCCCATCTCCTCTCAGCTCCACCCTGTGACCTCCCCTTCCCCAGCACCTTCACTGCCGTGAAGATTTTAAACTTCAACCCATCACCCATACCCTATCCCAGACCTGAAACCAGCATGATGCTGAGGACACAAGGAATCTTTCTTTTTGTGGGTGATGGTTTTGAGAGCGAGTGATGCCCGTTTGCATCTGTGCAGAGGTTTGGAGAGCCGCGTGAAGACCCTGGTGGAGATGAATTGGTGGGCAGAGAGCAGGTGATAAGGTTAAAATTGCACGATGGCTGCAGTTTATTACTCAGATATCAGTAATGCAGACATGCCTATGTGTTTTTGGATGTATCTGAATACTCCTGTCTAAATCAAGTTGCTGCTCAAAACCTTTAGCAAGTGCCCTCAGTCAGAAACCCCGAAGCCTCACGCATTTACCTTCAACACTCATGGAGAACGGCTGCAGTGGGTTGCAAAGCATTGTACTTAAGAAATGAAGTCTGGAGAGAAATGAGTCTGTGCGATTATTTCATACTTTTTGGCTTCTCTGATTCAGTCTAGTACTGAACCTCTCCCTTCTCTCCCCCTTCCCATTAGCCCCACGAGGCCTCCCTGACCTTACAATCCACCCACGGTTTCCATGTTACCATCAGCCTCCTTACACTTGACTGATGAGAAATATGTGATTATTCAACACATCATAAAAACAGCCAGAGCAAATGAAGGAGAAATCTGGAAAGTATTTATAGAAAATCTGTAAACAATCATTGCAATTCAGCTATTCAAAGCTGTGCACACATTAGCTTATTAGCTGTAGAGCTGTCAGATGTTCTTTGGTTCTTTCACCTTCTTCAAAAATTAAGAACTTCTTTGTTATACTCCCAGCCATTTTGTATTTCACAGACTTCTGTTTGCAGAAACAAGTTATTTTTGGAGCTACAATAACTGAGAAGAGGTTGGGTTTTTTTCCTTACGACTACATATCATTTCATTGACTTCAGAGGTTTGACAAGTACCGATTCACTGACATTCCTTGTGTGCTAAAAGGCTTCTTGAGGCGACTTCAAGCACATGCATGTTTTCTGCATGCAGCTCAACATCAGATTCAGATAAGTAGGAAGGAGGAGGTGAGAAAGAAGAAGCCGTGAAACTCTTCTGGAAAGTGACACAACGCAATGGTGGGACACGCATTGCAAAGTCTCTCTTCTCTGTGAGAGGCAGGGGTGTTTTTTACTCACCATAGCATGATTTAACCAGAGCGGGATGACTCCATCAAGGCTTTTGGGGTAAACCAGCTCTCGATTGTAGGTATACAGTGTCCAAAAGGATATACACACAAACTGGAACCAAAATACGAAATGAAATAAATTTCAAAATGAAAGACCAACACAATTGACAGGATTTGTCTAGTGCATTCGTTTCTGAGAAGGTATAACGTCTTACATGAAAAATGGTGATATTGCCAGATAAGCTCACATATCTCACATGATACAACATAAAGAGAGGAATTCACTCTGAGGTGCAGTGTTCTGTGTTCATACTGTGAGAAATCCTCCTTTATAAACTGCCAACTCTGACATTTTTTGAGGAATACTAGATTAGCTTTAAACCTTTTTTTTTTTTTTCTTTGCAGATGGGATCTTTTGATGGTCCAGAAGTTCTCCTCGAGGGATTGGCTGTCAAGCCACAGCATTTGTTCTGCTCAGTAACAAAGTAAAACCAGATCTTGGTGAGACAGTTCACATAAAACTTACCGTTATCTTCACAATTCATAAGCCTAATTCCTAAACTGCAAGTGCAAACTGCACTGTGGGCTCCCATTTTTTTCCCAACAGAGGATTTACAGCAGGAGGAGTTAACTGGAAGAAATGAACCCTGGAAGCTGATTTGCACCTTTTTGGCCTCGCTTTGTAGTTGAGCACACTTCGCCCTTGGGGCTGAAAATCAGGGGCACTGAGGTGCTGGAAGAATGAGACTAGCCTGTGCCTCGGTCCTGTGGGCATGGTGAGGATGCCTGGCGGGGATATGACAGCAGCATCATGAATACTGCTGTACAGGCAAGATAAATTAGCTGCTCTCTCTGTCTCCATCCCTGGCAGGACTTTTTTAGCCAGCCAGCTGGCTGAGCTGCTTGTGAACCAGGTTTAAGCAGCACTTCTCAGCCCTTTGAGATTCAGAGGTGGCTGCAGGCTTCACTCACACAGAGGGATACCTACACGTACCAGTGACTCATCGGTTCCCATCCACCCCACAGCACCAGATAAACAGCATTTCAATAAACGGCATTGTCTGTGAGGGAGTAGGTGGTTTGTGGTGAATCTGACATTGCCTATGACTATAATCATTGTCCCGTGAATCTCTTTCTCTCCAGCACTTATTCAAAGCCACACTGGAGTCAGAGGAGGAAATGTGAGATATTGCTGCCTCTTAGGTACCCCCTCATGTCCTGTGCTGCCCTTTAGAGGAACGCCCTAAGTCGATAAATCCCCAGCTATTTGGACCACGAGATTACAGAGAGGTTACACCTCATATACCCTTTGGGGTCAATCTGTGTTTGCCTGGGGACAGTAACCCTGAAGTTTGTGCAAGAGGCTTTACATTCAACCATGACAGGCTCAGCACTGTTTCCTTTTCTAAATGATCCAAATTAATTTTCAAGTGGTAAAAAAAAGCCTACAGTTCTTATCTATTTTGTGCATGTGCATGTTATACTATACACCCCTAACCATTTATGCGAACATTATTTTTACATACAGAGGTTACTTACTGTGGACACTGGGAAAGCCAGGACACTGAAAAGAAGGTCTCTGCTGGAAATTATGCACTTAGCACATCGCAGTTTCTTAATTAGTCTCAACACATCGGCCAGGAAGGACACCCCATAGAAGACAGCCTGCAAAACCTAAAGTAATTACACCTAATGAGGGAAACTCATCCAGCTTTAATTAGCACGTTCCTCAATGAACTCTGTTCTTGCTCTTCAGGGAGCTGTTTTGTTTGTGAGCTGCAAGCCCACATGAGGGAAATAGCTGTTGGCTAAATCTTTTTTTACTAACTGAAACTGATTAAAAAAAGTTGTTCGGGACATAACTTTAACAGTATCCCATTTAATAGGCTAAACAGAGACGTGTGATGTGATTCAGACAGGAGAGGTGGAAGGACATGTTGAAAGCCAGCTCCTTAACACTTTCTATGTTAAATATGTTAATTGTTACATTCAATGTATCTGAGCAGGAGCAGGAGAGAACAAAATATGCCAGGAAATGTTTCCTGTAAAGCGATTGCTAGATAGCTTCTCATACCATCTAGCCAGCCCATGGCCTTCTTTCTGGGGACTCACGGTGTGGCTGATCTCAGTGTCAAGTAGCTCAAAATGCTCTAACATGAGAATTAGGTGTAGAAGTTATCAAAACCAGAACCTCTTTTGCTGAACTCAGAGGGATTCAGGAAGGGGTTTCAAGTGCTTAGAAGCAGAGAGGCAGACTTCACTAACTAAAGCTGAATAAGTTAAACTATTTATAACTGACGAATTTTGGAGTTGGGAGGAGGGGGGCATTGTGTTTTGTTTTCTTTCTTTAATTCTAGTAATGAGGGTGGGGTGCTTTGGTGAGGGTGATAGGAGGATTTGGTAAAGAATTAGCTAAGTGCACAGTGGCAAAACAGAATTCCACAAACGGCTTATGAAATTGTGTATGAATACTGTGGTTTAAGCCAATATCACTTTTCCAATTACTTCTCTCTTAACACTACACAGTGGATCAAGCTGAACCAGGTTTGTCAGATGCACAAAGGCAAAGCCTTGCAGAAAAATACTTCTCCCACTACCTTGCACTTAGCAGAGTCTGGTTCAGTTCTGTTAACTTGCAGGGTGGCCTCTTCTTTTTAAGGCTAGGTTGTCCCAAAGCGATGCGATATGGGAAATGTAGCCTACTGCAAATGCCGGACCAGCTAGCGATGCTTAAATGGAGAGAGGCTGTCTTACAGCTTTCAGGATGAGATCTCTTTTGCCATGATCTTATGCTGAATCAGATGTTTATTTAGAGCAAAGTGTCTGAAGTTGTGGCCCGTTACTTCATCAGTTTCTGAAGAAGCAGAGAAGGGTGGTGCTTGGGAGGGGACAGAATTAGTGCAATGCTTTTCCGTCAGAAATTCCTTTATTATCAAAATATCTGAGGGAAGGAGGGGACTATGATTTCACCATGTCCATTGTCAAACAAGGGTTTCTGCAAGCTTTAGTTTGCAGCAACTGAGGCCTCCTGGACAGGAAAATGACCGTATTTTGCATGACCAAAGTATCCTTGCAGATATCCACAACCATCCCCATCCATTTTGTGGCTTCCCAGCAAAGGGAAAAGATACATCCTTCCTTCCCTATCCTTTCCACAGTCCAGGTGCTTGCTACAGTAGCCTGCAGCCAGGTGCCACTGGCAGAGTGTCCTCCGTCCCTGCGCAGACCTGCAGTGCTGGAGGTAGGGAGGTGCTGATGCAGGCTGGGTGACTAGCCCAGGGTCAACCAGGATGAGATATTGGAGGTTGTGCACCAACCAATCCAGCTGCAAAGCCCTGTGTTTCCTCTTAAGAGCATGGGGTGAACAGCCACTTTTTTACATTAAAAAAAAACCCAAGCAGCTTCATCAGAACCCACGTATGGTTTTGTTCAGTTCTGAGGCACTCAAACCAGCTCTTTTAAATGTGGTTTTCTCTCGCTCTCTTTCCACATTATCACAATTAGCCTCTGTAACTGCAGGCATAATTTCAGTCAGTAGGGATTCAGCCCTCCAAGTCACAGGTCTAGTTCAGGAAAGTCTGTACTAGGGTGCAGCGTAGTTAGACCCAAACACATATTCAACCCAAACATCTGACCCAGTTGTTGGCCTCACCAGGACACCAAAACCGAGTCCTCGAAGAGCTAAGAAAAGCCTGGTAATAAACAGAAGCTCTTGTTACACCCTGTAGAGTCAGCAGTAACTTTCTGTAAAAATCATGAAAAATGAACATGAGGGTGGTGACAGTCTGGTGACACATGGTGACTAATTGCCAATAAAACAATTAACGAGAGGCCTGGTTCCTAGAGGATGGGGCTATTATTATCTTGTTCATGGTCAGCCTTATATTAATCATGGGCCAGGGAGAGGCTCTTCTCTGTGACACCTCCCATCCCCCCTTCAAAATTAAATAAAACAAACATTTCTGAAAAGAAACAGTCCTAAAGCAGCCACATTCTCAGGCTGCTAAATATTTTGTCATATGGAGGGGAGGACAATGTTATCTTCTGTATGGAAAATGCTTATTTGAGTGTGTAACCTGACCCATTTCTCTGGCTGAACATAGAGAAGAACAACTCCTGAAGAAGTTTGAACTCAGTCTCAGGAGCCTGTTTTTGCGTTGCTCATAGATCTACCCTTGTCTGTCACTGTGGGTTCAAAGGGGTTTCAGTCAGCTTGTGATCACCCTGTGTGTTCAGGAGCAATGGAAGAAAATACAATTAATTTTCAAGCCAGAAAACTGAACCTAGCTAGAACAATCCCTAGTGATGCTCAGTCTGGCAGGTTGCACCACCACTAGACTCAAGTCAGAGCTACAAACCCATGCCCTTTCAGGCTTATTCCTGTAAGAAAAGTGCATCCAAATCTTGCAGCCCTTCACTAATGGGAAAATGTTGACAATAAAAAAAAAAATTGACATGAAAACATCAAATTATTCCAGATGTCCTGTGAATTTCCCAAACAGCGGTGCTGGCGTTCACGAATCCATTGCAGCCACTCATGGAATATAAATCTGTTGGCTGTAAATAAAGAGGATCCCCTAAAGTATTCCCACACGAACAGAAGGCAGACTGGAAGCATTCAGAAAGCTAACGATTAACCCAAAGAGGAGACTATGGATATGATTATCCCTGTTGGAGACATGCTGCTTTCCTCTCTAGCCCCTGCAGAGCATGGTGCTAGGTGCTGTAGAAATGCTTCATTTGGCCAGATCGATTTTCCAAACTGAGAGTCGTAGTGACAAAGACAAACCTCAATTTTTATCTGCTGCAGTGATCAAAGGGGTGTTTCTGTTTAACTAACCTGACATGATTTACTTTTGCATATAAGATCTAGCCATATGTCTATACTGAAATCTCCAACTAGTACAAACAAACTGGGCTCCAAGCTCTGCCTTTAAGAGGGAGGATAAATGCAATATTCTGAGGAGATTATTAACTATAACAGTCAACATTTAGTGTAGACACATATCCATTCACATGATAGCAATGTGGAAATTTTGTATGCTAAATACTGGGTCTATTTTGAAATAAATAAATAAACAGCTTTCAGGAGAATTGGAAAGTATTTCAATTAT